GCGCACCAAAGCATCGTCGTCCTTGTCCTCCTCCAGATGAAACGTCTGTCCAATCTGTTGGGGGAGGATGCGGCGGGTGTCGGGATGGCGAACCGGACGCTCAGTAAATACGGATCTTATTCGACGGACCGTGGATTATTCGACGCGTCCGTCCCCAGACGACATCGCGCGACTCCATCAAAAATCGAATGAGAAACGGCCGGGAAGAAAGGACACCACCACGCGATTTATATTTTGCGCCGCCCAAAATTCATTTCCTGCGAGTCCAATGCTGCTGTCTTCGCTGCGGCCGACGTGCGAAATGGAAAACAAACCCCGAGTATCAAACGGGATACTTATCGACTCCCCTTTTATCCCTCACGGTACATTAATACAATATAGGTCTACCTATGTATGGTTTTAAAACCTCCGTGTTCTGTATTTCTGGTCTTTTCGTGTATGTGTATAGGAAAAACGAGATGCGATAAATGGGCGAGTTAGGAGTCAGAAGGGAGTTATCGCTGCGATTTAATTTATGGAGTTTGAACTATAGGGTGTCAGGGTTCTATGTGTATGGAAGTGCGTTTACATACTTAATGAGGTGTATCAATGACTCGATAAGGTGTTGAGAGGCGTGAAGAATAACGATTTTTGTGGATTATGATCTTTATTCATATATATAGAAAGCTATAAAATAATCGTTAGTTTATATCAAAAAAATTAAAACAATGATTATCATCACTTTACTTTGTGGCATGCTGTCATATCAAAAGTGCAAGATAGCAATATTGTTAAAAATAAAATTTGCTACAACTTTTGTTCTAAAAGTTTTTTGGAACATGCTCCGATTCTAGAGTGTCACCATGACGACTTGTGTAACAACGAAATTCATCAAATTTTCATATTCTCGCATTTTTCTCGATGACTAAACATCTGAGAGCAAAAGTGCAAGAGAGCAATATTGTTAAGAATAAAATTTACTAAAACTTTTGTTCTAAAATTTATTCTGTAACATGCTCCGATTCGCGAGTGTTACCATGACGACTTGTAAAACAACGAAATTCATAAAATGTTCATATTCTCACATTTATTTCGATGACTAAACATCTGAGAGCAAAAGTGCTACAGAACAATATTGTTAAGAATAAAATTTACTACAACTTTTGTTCTAAAAGTTTTTTTGTATCACACTCCGATTCCGGAGTGTTACCATGACGACTTGTATAACAACAAAATTCATCAAATTTTCATATTCTCGCATTTCTCAAGATATCTGTGCATCTGAGAGCAAAAGTGCAAGAGAGCAATATTGTTAAGAATAAAATTTACTACAACTTTTGTTCTAAAAGTTTTTTTATACAACGCTCCGATTCCGGAGTGTTACCATGACGACCTGTAAAACAACAAAATTCATCAAATTTTCATATTCTCGCATTTCTCAAGATATCTGTGCATCTGAGGGCAAAAGTGCAAGAGAGCAATATTGTTAAGAATAAAATTTACTACAACTTTTGTTCTAAAAGTTTTTTTGTACAACGCTCCGATTCCGAAGTGTCACCCTGACGACCTGTAAAACAACGAAATTCATAAAATTTTCATATTCTCGCATTTCTCAAGATATCTATGCCTCTGACAGCAAAAGTATTAGAGAGCAATATTATTAAGAATAACATTTGCTACAACTTTTGTTCTAAAAATTTTTTTGTAACATGCTCTGATTCCAGAGTGTTACCATTAAGAAAAGATAAAACAATAACATTTTTAAGGTCTATGAAGACCAAATGTTTCTGAAATCATAATAATTTAAATACTTCCAAATACATCATGGCGCATAGCTCGCATATACTGGGGAACGAAGAATGGATGGGTTCCATACCTAACAGTTTGTAAGGAGAACCCACCCCATCTTAGAGAATTCTCAAGAAGCGAGGATTTTATCCTATTAAATTTTTTTTTGATCCATCATAACTTAATCATCTTTCCCTGTAAACTTTTGGTGTCCACTGCTGAACATAGATTTCCATAGATCTTTCCCTGTTTTGAGGTTCCTAAATCCAATTTCAAGTCACTGTTTTCTATCATGCTTATCATTGCGTAGTCTCCATTCGATCAACCTTTTTGAATTCTCCATTGAAAAGCTCTCAATTGAGTTCTCAAAACTCATGTATATCATAAAATATCAGCTGCACAACTGTAGATAAGCGTTTGTTTTCATCGACGTCTCTCCGTTAAGCTCAAATCTCCTCCATGTTTCTCAATTTCAATATATTCAAGAGTACAATATGTTCAAATATTTTGATCAAAAAAATACACAAAAACAAATAGATTTTGGTAAACGATTAAAATAAATTGAATAACTTGAAACGACTAGGATGGTGGTTTGGTATTGCATTCCATGAATTTCGAGCCTCCAGGAGAGAGTCTAGATAAACGTAAGTGATCGGTGGATTCGCTGCAGGACCAGAACGGGCAGCGCCTCATTTCCTGTCGGGTGACGACAGGATCGGGTGGGCCGTGCACACCATTGCCTACCGCGATTCGCATACTTCCCCTCAATGCCGCCGCCGCCTCCTGCTGCTATCGCCTCTCCCAGCCTACTGCCATAACTCAGCCGATCTATATACTATATTAACCGTTCTCGTTCGTACGAAGGGTTTTCTATGCCCAGAGGGCTTACCGGGATGAATTACGAACACGTCTAGTTGAAATGACGTACGTTTCGATTAAAATTATCGGAATGAAGGGAATGAAAGAGATGGGGGATTTAATATGATCTAAGTAATGTTACATCATTTGTTGTTTTGGACTGGTTTAAATTTTTGAGATAATCTAATTACAGTTTTTTCTTTTGAGACTGAATTAAGGGTTTGTAATTACGGTCGGTTGAAAAAAATAACGGGTATAAATGGCGCGACGCGCAATTATTTTCCGTGGTTTTTCCTCTGCGGGAGACGTAGCACCTGCGGCGAAGAGATATTTTTTACTTATCGCCGCGGGCGTCGCGATATAAAGTAGTGCAATTTTTACGCGAAATTTCCAGCCACTCTTTCGCATTAATCTGCCGCTTTATCTTAATGATTCTTGGGCTGGAGTTGTGGTCGCAGTCCCGCTTTAAAACCGTGCGGAAGCAGAAAAAGAAATTAGAAACTCCGCGTCGAACAGATATCAGTGTGGGCTATGGCGATTCCCGTATAACCGATCCCCTCTGTCCTATGCGTGTCTTTTCTATTGAAGAGAAAGAGAGAGGGAAAAAGGAAGCGGGCACATCAACCGTTATCGGCTCCATCCGTTCCCGGAGATACGCTGACCGGAAACGCACACTTTTATCTCGACGACTTTCTATTTTGTAAATGAGATGCTAACGACTTTTAATATCTAAATTCCGTCTCGGTGCTAGGGAAATAAAGTCGCGCGCGACAGAAGATTAGCCGGAATCGTGGACGTACGGGCCGATCCTTCGGGAAACACGTGAGAAAATTAATTGAATAGATGGCGCGATAGCAGCGGGGGCCCGGCATTGTCAGGTGTTATACCGCGTCCTCTTCGGCCGACCTCCCTTCGTTTACCTTCTTCTATTTCTTCGTACCTCCTCCTCTTTTCGTGAGACGGCCGGTGCTCTTACTTTTTTCTACTACATCCAAACGGATCAGGCGCTAATCGCGATCGCTCGCCGAGGGAACTTCCCCGGCTTGATCTTTATCTGGTACGCCATTAGGCGAAATGAAGCGTCATTAATAATGCGCGGCCCAAACCTCATCCTCCAACCACCTTCTCTTTTTCCTCCTTTTTTCTCGTTCTTACCATTGTTATACCTACGACAATGCGATCGATCCTCCGATAGCAAGGTGTTAATTTTGTTACAACACTTGGATGCTTCAGGCTTATAGTTTTTAATAAATATCAAGGTGTAAAGAAAAAAATATCTATTATTGCTATTTCACTGTCTAAGGGAATCTTATTCTTTAAATAGTTGATAAATATAGATGAGATCCAAATCTACATGTTTGGAAAACTCCGTGAACAGCTCATATCCAATGTGGGCATGCCCTCACTCCCTGGTTTACCACGCAAGATTGACATTCTGTCAATGGTTTTTACAGGAAACTGCTTTTACCAGAAACGGAATGTTCAACTTCCATAATAATCATGTGTGGTATGACGAGATTCCTCAAACCGCCGCTGTAATCAATAGCGTTTTAGTCTAAACATCTGGTTACACACTTCCTAGACTTTTCGAAAGCTTACCGTTAAAATCGGAGATTAAATCTCTTGCGGTTACGAAACATCTAAACAACACATTTATTTTGACTTGGGTAGGCACCATCTCCAACCTTGAATCTTGTATTCTTCTTGATATATCATTTTCTGATGGAGTACTTCGCAAACAAGGTAACAAAGATCTAAGTAATTGAATAATTTCTCCAAACATGAGCATTAAATAATTTAATACACCTGAACATTAACTTTACAATCTTGGAAAGATTCTTCCATTCTTTCCTGATGGTCACAATTGCAATCTCAAACGTTGTTTAACACCACAAAGTAGAACAAGACTGTAAAACATGCATAAAATGATTATAACATTTTATTATGATATTAGTCCTATTTAAATAATATGACATTTAAACATTTTGTGACTACTTTAATCTTACGAAGAAGGGTAATTTCAAAGTGCATTAGCGATTTCCAAAGTCACGAGTGGGGCCCCCGGACAGATCCCGGGCTGATTTACGACCCCTCGGGCTCCTCTCACCTCTTGCGATACTGAATATTCATGAGGCGAATCGCCGTTTGAGATCTTCGTCTGAATTAAGAATTAACGTTAGCGACTGCGCTGTCTCTGCTGTGCCTTCGCGATACTGCACGCTTTGGCAACTCAATCGACTTGTTAGATAACGAAGGGTGTGTGTGTATATGTCTTGGATTTCTGAGAAGAACATTTTTTCCATTCTCTTATACGAGATGTGTTTTAATTTTTTTTTGTGTTATTTTTTTTGAATTAACGATTTGATTTGTTGTAGGCGATACCGTTGAAAAGTTACCATGCAGTATAGAGTACAAAGAAGAACCAGAATCAAACCGAAAAGGTAAGATTGATTATGTAATGAGAATAAAGTTTTGCAACATAAATTATTATTTATAAAACAATAATACTTGGTCTTAATACCTCAAAACAATGCTTCTTTAGTGACGAAATGAGATTAAAACTTACAGTTACGTTTCTCACCTTGAGAAAACGCAACGAGAGATCATCGTCTTTTGGTTAAATCCTATCGTGAATGAAGAAAAAAAGGCGAGACTAGTTTCTCGCGCTCCCGTTTTCCAATCGGCCGGTTTGACTTTCCCGCGGTTTTCTTCGAGCTCGAAGAGTAGCAGAGATCAACCGTCTAAGATAAGATGTAATGACCCCATCGTTACTACTTTACAGCAGTAGTAAACGTCAAATTTAAAAGTCGGCGGTTTTCCCGAAGACATCAAAGACGACGGACAAAAAGATTAAAATTTTCGTAATTATTAAATATTAAGTGGATATATTCATTATACGTGGAGTTAGATAACGCTTAACTTGGACTTTAAGAGCTTTTATCGGATAGAATAATTAATTGCAATCTAACGATCTGTAATTGTTAGTAATAACACGTTGGGCAGGGTAGAAAATACGTGCGATAATTATACAAATTAACTACACGGCGATTAAAATTTATTTTATAGCTATTACGATTTTATTTTTGGATAGTTATTTTTTTGGACAAGAAATGAGAACGTCTTTATCGCGAACGCACTAAGAAGAGTGAACAGACCAATGAACCGAAACGGATTCGTCGAGTAAGTTCGGAATGAAGCAATCCTCTTAGAATTCCGTTAATCGCTAGTGACGCCGGGCGTCGACCGATTATCGCCGTCGCGACGGACAAAGCGTACCCCGGAAACCTTCTGGTGACATCACGATTAGTTCGGCCACCGGAATCGCCGGTTGTAGGTCGCGGACTCAAATTGCCTGCTGTCGTAGAAAGATAAAACAACCCCTACCTTACACTCCATTTAATCCTTCAACTAGATGATGTCCAAGAAGTGCTAAATTAAGACATCACAAAAATCATTTAAGAAAATATTATTTTAATTTTATTTTCCATGTCGCAAATTTACTTCGTGTTCTTCATGATCGTCTAAACGAGATCTGAAACGTAGAGAGTAGCACGATCCTTCGAAGTAACCGAACCCTGGACACGGCACACGGCACTACATAAATAGAGCGGTAACAGGCCGATGGGACGATACGTCGATCAGGGGGCCAATTGTAACGTTCCGCCGCCAATAATTACCGCATTTAAAGCGGACATTAACGCGTATGCACCGGCGCTTAGTAAAATATCCTAGTCAATGATCTGCATATCTTCGGGCGCCTTCGAACGCATAGCTTACGCCGTGGACCGGCTACGGTTGGATAACGTGACGTTTATTTGAATTGGACATTTCGCTTTGAAGTCGCCTTAGCTCCTATCTTGATTCCACCAACTGTTCTCGATTAAATATATGTGTAGCGGTTAGAAATATTTAAAGCTAAGCACATTCACTAACAGTTGTTGTAAATTTGTATTTACTTAAATAAATATTTTATATTTTTTTCAATTTATTTGACAAATTTGCTTATGATGATGATGATGATGTGTCATGCCCAATACCATACTATTCAGTGGGAAAATATACGGTGAGTTCATATACACCATCAAGCCCTTAGATGCCCTATACTTAATTCGGAGGAGTAAAATGAAAAGTTGAGAGACGTCTCTCAAGACGGCTCAAGTCGAATCGTTACTTACCGGGATTATTATTCCGAAAATACATTAAAACCACGATTATTTATGGGTTTACTGAATCTTGACAGGTACAAACCTAACCTCAAATTTTTTTTTTAATTAATCTTTTTAAATACCCATAAAATTAATATTTAATTTAAGAAATGAATAAAAATTGGTATAAAATTAATTTTTAATCGAGTTGTAACCGTTTTCATTTAAATTTAAAATAATTTTATTAAAGAAAATCGAATAATTTTTAAGGAAAAAAAAAATAGGTTGGTACCTAATTAAATTGAAATAGTAACAGCAACGTCTTTTTTTTTGCAGCGCCATCTCACCGTAGGAAATACAAACCTATTAATTCATTTTAACGTAACAATTAATTAAAAAAATATATTCTAATTATTAAAATTAGTAAGTATATTTGTAAATTAATGAGGAATTATTTCTAAATTACTACATTTCTACTTCTATCGGGTTATATTTTTAGCACCATCTATCCGTTGACAGCAACAACTGATTATTAGACGTTTGTGTCATCTTCTCTTTAGGTTAGAACATTTTCCATTGCTCAAAGAGTGTGAAATATAGCTTGAAATGAAACTTTGAAACTTTCTACATAGTTCTAGTGTTAGTTCTAGTTTTAAGTGTTGTGCAGCGCTAGACCAAGGACTAGAATCATTCGGGTTTAGCCGTCTTAAGAGACGTACGACTAAACCTAAATGTTTCTAGTTCTAGGTCTAATGTTAGTTCTAGTGACAGTGCAAGTGTAAAACTAGAACTAAAACGTCTTAGGAGATGCACTAGTTCCAGGTCTAGTGTTAGTTCTAGTTTTAATTGTTATTCGCTAGATTGTTGTATATTTTTATTGAAGTAGTTGAAAGGTATCGTATTAGAATAGTACGTATATTAGATTATACAGGGCTTCCCAAAACTCCCGGGACGGAGCTATAAGTTTTGAACGAATGAAGAATCACGAAAGGGTCATAAAAACTCCATGCAATGTGGCATTTTTTTAGGGAATGACCACCCTTACATTTTTAAATAGATATATCGAGGTTTACCTTATTGTGAAGGTAATGAAAATGGAACACAACTCCATAAACCAAAACTCGATATCTTAGTTGTTTCAAGAATTATGAGGGGTTGACTACCAAATTGAAATTGAATGAAGGTGCCTTCGAAAGAAGCTTGGATTTCTGTGAAATAATACGTGAAAAATGTGATGTTGACAGAAATTTTCTTTTGAACGTTGTTTTCTCTGTTGAGGCTACTTTCTACTTGAATGGTAAGGTTGGGTTGGGTTGGGTTGGTAAGGTTAATAGGCACAATTGTCGTTATTGGAGTGACGAAAATGCACGTTTAATAAGAGAAGGTCATACTTAGAGACCGCAGAAAGTTAATGTATGGGCTGGTATTATGAGAAAGAATGTAATTTGTCCATTTTTTATTAATGTAAATTTAGACGGAGACGGATATCTGCAACTGCCCTATATCTGCCCTAATGGTATTGACCATAAGTGGCTCCAACAAGATGGTGGTCCTCCATATTTTAGTCGCGAGACTTTAATGCGAGACTTTTTAAGCCGTACGTTTCCAAACCGTTGGATTAGTAGTAGAGGTGAAATTAAGTGGCCTCCACGATCTTCTGATGAAGATGAAGACTCACGGTTAAACCCGAAACTTTCTAGTTCTATGTCTAGTGTTAATTCTAGTTTTATACTATCACTATAGAGCTAACACAAGACCTAGAATCATTCGGGTTTAGCCTAAGAAATTTTTCATCAAAGCATTTTCCAAAAATAAAATTTTTATCGTTTTTGATAATAAATACGAACGTAGTGACTCCACATCAATATAGCTTTAATATGACCCTTTTCCCCCACGTGGGCGTTCCGTACACGTCCTGTCCCTCTTCTGAGGACCTCCGTATCTCACATTCGCACACCATTACCTACTGGTGATATTAGCCCGGTTGCGATAAGACTCCAAAACCAACCCTTCCCGCCTTTTACTTTGTCACTTGACTCGGGTCGTCTACATAACGACCGTTTTGCCTTATAATCTTGTTACGGAATAAGTATAAGTGCTTAAGTACCTTACTAAAAATTAGTTCCGACTAAACAGAATAATAGGTCGTAACTTGAACGGGTCTTTTCGCAACCGCGTACACCGTAAGTCTTAATAGCCGTTGATTACACGGAATCGCGTCATTTTCCGGCATGGGAGGCGCCGTAATAGAAAAAGATGCTTATCGGTGGCTTGATAATAAATGAATTAATAAGCAGACGGTGGCGGAACGCGTATTAATTGGGTTGGGTTGGTGGTATCGAGCGCGTAACCGAGGTAGTATCTCACAGATTAATTGGACCATTATAATAGATTTTGGGAAGCGATTGCAACGTTAAGTACGATGGGAATTTCCCTGATGTATATGGTTTGACGAGAGAAGAAACTTTTAAATATTCACACGTACATAAAATCATTATATTTTCTCGGTTAACAAAATGTTTTCTTTCCATGGTGTGCTTAGTATTTAAAATTTCGAAATATCTAGTTAATATATGCGCTTAATTTTTAGTTTTTATAGGCGTTTGCGCACGCAAAACGACCGACCGCGACACATAAAGAGCACAAATAGGCGCGGTTTAAGCGCTCCTCCTATCGCGTAAGTTATTTTAGTAAATGTAACACGCGGTACCCAGAGAGTAATACCATAGCACTAGCAAAAAATAAATCTCTCGAAATTCATTACGAGATAAGGGTGGTGCCGCCTCCGCCTCGTTTTGTTACGTAACCCGTACAGATAGTGGCGCTAATGGCATAATTCACCGATCAGATGCTGATACGCGCGAGTTACTTCAAAGCGGGACGAGTAATTTAAATAAAGCGTACACTGTAACCGAAGGTAAATGCGCCCCCGCACTACAACCGCAGCCCGATATGCAAATAAAACGTCACCGGGATAAATGTTTGAGGAAAACCAATAAGAAAGTTTAGCTTGGGCAACGTTTTCCCAGAGTGGGTATTAAAAGGGGCGAGTACTAATAGAAAACTTGTCTTACGAAAGAAGGTCGAATATCGGCAACCGACGCCTTAGTGCTGGTTATCTTGGAGCGGGATCGCTCAAATGGTGGCCCCATTTGCTTTATCACTGTTTTATCCCCTATCGAGACGTTGTCGGCAATAAAGTTCCCATCTCAGACCCAGTAATTGACCGGAGCTTTGAGATTTAACCAACGACCATGGAGATAAGTGCTTAAAAACTCTTTCAAGAATAGTTTTTA